TGATAGCAGCACCCAAGCTGCGGGCAGTCCCTCCACCACAGCGGCCTCGTGGCCCAGCCCCTCCAACAGAGCAAAACAGGCTTGATTGTATTCTTATCGGACCTGTGGTTTTGTAAGGCCCAGAAGGCTGGCCGGCTCTGCGTCAGTAGGGGAAAGGCAGTAGCCGGCTCCCCGGGTGAGGGCATGACGTGGGCCGCCACCTCCACCCCCTGCCGAGGCCTGGGGTCCACCTGGTGCTGCAGCGGGCGGCGGTGGGAGGAGGAGCCACTGATGCCACACCCCTAGCAGGGAGGCCCTGGTGGCGGCTGCGAGTCGGCTGTGTTCCATGCCTGGCTCCCCACCTCTGAGCGAGAGCTCTGTGCCTCAGTTTCCGTAGAGACCACCGAAGACTTACCTACATGCTTGGGAGCCATGGCCCAGCAGCTGGCTCCCAGCCAGTGTCCTGTCAGTGACGGACTTAGCTAGAACAACCTGGGACACTAGTGGCCTGGGTCTCAAGGTTGCTCAATGTGGCCTCCCAGCCCTCCCTTTCCACCTGAGTGCTCCAAGCCACCTGCAAAAGCTAACCCCTTCAGATGCCCAACCTCAAGGAGACGCGAGCGGTTCCCTGCCTCCTCAGCCTGCTACCCACCACACATACCTTCCCTGGCTTGCCTAGCACACCTTCCGGCGTAGACATAACCCTCTTAGCCATTGTCCTCTTTTGCTGTGGCCATCCAGGACGTGGAGGCAAGGCTGGGCCTGAGGGAGCTCAGTGCCCTGTGTCAGCGAAGAGATTCATGAGGACCGAGACCGGGCCAGGGGTGGCTGTGCTTCCTAACACGGGGGTGACTGGATGAAGAGGATGATGCTGTCCCTGTCCGTGTGCAAATGTCCCATGTGTCCCCATCCCAACTGGCCCAAAGCGTCCCTTAGAGCTCATCTCTGACTGCGGGCTTGTCTGGACCCCTGAGGGCCACCTCTTCAGATGCCATCTTGGGCGTGAGCGGCATTGGCATTGGATGAGCGGAAGGAGCTAAGGGAGGGTATGGGGTGGTTAGCAAGGCCTGGATACAGAGACTAATGGCCTTTCCCTTGGAGCGTCTCCAGAGCGCTTCTGCAGGAGGGGAGGTCCTGGTGGGGAGACCCTGGGCCTGGAGAGCTGGGTCCAGGCCTGGACAAGGACAGGAATTGTGACATCTTGTAACTGCCCACAGAACCAGACGGGCCAGAGGTGATTGTCCTTGGACCAGATGCTGGGGGCTGTCTGTGCCCTCTGTGGCAGACACAGGGGGACTTTCCTGCTAGGCCAGCCACCGAGGAATGTCTGCTAATCTGGAATAAGCAAGGAACCAGGTATGCCTGGAACACAAGGTGACATGCCCCAGGTATGAAAACAGCCGCTTCCTGGGCCCTTCCTGGGCCCTGTGTTCTCTACCCAGGCACAGCCTAAGGCTCCCTGCCATGTCTCAGCCCTAACCCTGGCAAGCCAGTAAGCCTCTGCCTGGCACCTGTGAGTGAGTGAGTGACCCCCAGGGTGCAGGCTTATTGGCATCAGTTACCTGAGTCAGCGCTCACGGGAGCACAAGTTGGGGTCTGGGTTGAGATCTCAAGCTTACTGTGTGTTCTTAGGTCTATTCCCAGCCTCTCTGGGCTCAGGATATTTGTCCCTATCACATACGCTGGACAGGGTCTGGAGGCTCATGAGCACCGACAGCCTGCCCTGGACCCAGCTCAAGGACTCCACACTGCGCTGGCTGGCTTCCTGACCATCCTTGTCTTTCCCTCGTGGTCCCCTCAAGGTGAGAATGTCAGGTCCGTCACCTCACAGGAAGGAGCCCCATACCCCCAGTGTTCCTGCCTTCTTGAAGCCAGAGCCTAGGACTGCGGGACGTGACGATCCCATCCCTCGAGCACTGGAATGGGCCCAGACTTCTCCACTGTTATCACAGTCTGAAGTTCCAAAGAAAGCCAAACACAGGGAGGACATGAGTTCTAGGAGATAAGACAGAGAGCAAGCCAGGAAGACAGCTGTCTGCCGACAGACGGACAGACAGTCCTTCCCAAGATGTGTGCACAGCCTTCGAGTTCATGCAGGGTGAGTCTCTCCTTCACTCACAGAACACCTGGGACTCACCTCCATCCCGCCATTTTAGCACCGTGTCACCGACACCCTGCCCTGGACCCAGCTTAAGGACTCCACACTGCGCTGGCTGGTGACCAGAGAGTCGAGGTGGGGAGGGTTTGCCAGCCAGCTGCCCCAGACCTTGTCATCCTGGGTTTGATGGCTGCCCTAGTAGGGTAGACAAGAGGCAGGTATGCTGGGAATACAGGTAGGAGGATTGCCAAGATCAAGGCCAGCCTGGGCTACCACATGAAACTACTTCTCATGAAAACACATACAAGAGCGTAAGAGGAAAGAAAGGACGGGCGGTGGTGACGCACCCCTTCAATCCCAGCACCCAGGAGGCAGAAGCAAGCAGGTCTCTGAGTTCAAGGCCGGCCTGGTCTACAGAGAGTTCCTGGCCAACCAGATGCATAGTGAGATCCCCATCTCAAACAAACAAACAAAAGCCAAGTTGTGCCCTGTTCAGCATCTCGAAGGCTCACAGAGAGGGCATGTCGCTTCCGAAGGCTGAAGAACAGTCCCAAGACAGACACACACGGGGAGGGCAAGGGACCCCCTTGTGGAGGGTAGAACAGGGCAGGTATGGCCCTCAGCGGCCCCCTGAGGTCTGCGCAGAGAGGGCAGGCTCTGGCACAGTTCCTCTGCTGCAGTGGCCGAGGGGGATTAGAGGGGCCTGCGTCGGGAGCAGAGCGGGAGCCTGGTGTGTTCATGCATCCGTGCAAGGGCCCCTTGAATCCGCACCAAAACTTGGGCACTCTAAGTGTCCCTGAGAAGTGGGCCTAGCACAGCAGTCCTGGAGGAAGCCGCCCAGGGGATCTCCCCTCACTGAAGCCCTGAGAGTCGGTCGCTGTGCAGGGGTGGTGATCATTAATTTCTATTTCCTGCTGACCCCAGCAGAACCATGTCTTTTGAGACAGAGTTTTGTGTAGCCCAGGCTGGCCTCCAACTGGTTATGTGCCCAAGATTGACCTTGACCTCCTCCTCCACTTCTTGAGTGCCCATTCATGCTGAGGAAGCCAGTTGAGCCACATCCCTACCCCACACCCCTACCCCACACCCTTACCCCCACATCCATGCCCCCCACATCCCTGCCCCCCACATTCCTACCCCCAAAATGTATTTATTGGATCAAAACCAAAGTAGGTGCCCTGACATCACACTGGTGGATAAAGATAGATAGAGGAAGAGTCCCCAGGAACCCCTGGAGTTGAGGGTGGGACCCAGCTGACCTTCCCTTCCACCTGGCATCATGACCGTACCTAGCTGCAAGGGAGGCTGGAGTGTATTCACTCCAGGTGGCCATGTACCCAGCTAAAAATCACCAGCTAAGGGCAGCAGGAGCTCCAAATGAGAACACGTTGGAGCATGCAGTAAGCCCTGGCCTTTATCCCTTTACACTCAAAATGGAACACCAGAAGCAACCTGGGTCTGTTGGTCGGGAAAAGAGTGGGCGTGGGAGTCCCTAGCTTCCCCCGGCTCCCATCCACTCAGGCACATCTGTGCAGCAGCTGAGTACCAAGGCACCAGAGCACTGTGCTGGGAGCATCATTGTCTGGGGAGTACCTGGAAGGCAGAGGAGCAGGGGACAGGAAGGTGTAGGAGTCACCGGGGAACATAGAGGCCTTTTGCTTACTGGCCCTGGAGGATCGGACCCGTAGGGATCAAGAATGGTTGGTTGCAGCCCTTTCGGAGTTTTGAGTTCCCTCCTCAACACAGGGCCAACGAGGGCGGCAGCTGTGCTCCAGGCTGTGCAGAAAGCCTGGCCTCTGTCGGAAGATGTTGGTGGGTGTCAGAGTGACAGGCTAGCCCTGAAGGAAGCCAGTGGGAGGTCACACTACTACTTATGGAATCTGAGAGCAGCAGTGAACGATACCGGGACTGGAGAGACGGCTCAGTGGTTAAGGCACTGGCTGAACTTGCAGAGTCCCATTCCCAGCACCGACACGGCAGCTCACAACTGCCCGTAACTCTGTTCCAGGAGCCGAATGCCCCCTTCTGACCTCCTCTGGCATTGCACACAGACACACATACACACACACACATACACACACACACACACACACACACTATTTAACTAAAACAAAAAATATGTCATGATAGTCAGGCGTGGTGGCATCTTTCTTTCCTCCCAGCACCCGGGAAACAGAGGCAGGTGATCTCTGTGAGTTCTAGGCCACCCCAGGCTACACAGTGAGACCCTGCCGATCTGCCGACACGAGGAAAGATACCTTCGGAGATGGTTCAGGTGTAGGCCTCACTCAGCTCTGCCCCTGTGGCAGGAAGAGGAAGCTGAGAGTCTGATGTGTGGCTTCTTGAGCAGGTGAAGGAGCCTGGGCAGCGGGACCTGGGCTGGCTGCAAACCCCCTTTCTGTGCAGCCCACCTGCTGCTTCCCTTCGGGTCTTGGAAGGGTAGGCTGCTGCCGCCTGACCCTGCTCTGGGTCCTTTGCATCACTGGGTGACAGGCCTGCAGGAAGTTGCGGGGTGCAGAGAGCGTAGCGCCTGCCAGCAGATGAGCTGACAGGCTCTCCCAGGGCCTGGGGAGGCAGACAGCACCTCCTCCAGGTGGGCATGGGGACCCCCAGGGGAGGGAGAGGTGCTGAACTCTCATTACTCTTGCTGAGCTGTCTCCAAGCCCATGGGTGATCACTCTGAGTCCAGAACCCGGGTCCCACAGGATGCTTCCTTTGTACCTTGTGTTAGTAAAGTGGGCACACTGGGCACGGTCACTTAGAGGAGAAAATGGGTGAGGGCTTGAGTCCTCTATCCCTCGGGAGACAAGGCCCTCAAGGGTTAACCAGGAGCGAGCCTGCCTGCAGTCTGAGGTAGGCAGGGAGCGTATTTGTTCAGGTAAATAAGGAAGGATTACTTATAATGGGAAACCTGGCGGGCCAACTCTCTGTCTTACTTCTGACTTCCTTCCAGGGCATTCCTGCACTCCGGCTGCTGTCCCCAGCCCCCCAGCCTGCTGCTGCCCCGTAAGCACCCCAGATTAGACCTCCTCATGGTGTCAGCAGGTGGGCCTGAGCCTCCGGCAGGCACCCGCTTATAGACCTCAGGCCTGAGACCTCTGACTTCCCCTCACGGGTGGACAGGCCCTGGTGGCTCACCTGAGGGCCACCTCTGCCCCAGTCCTGCTGGCCCCACTGATGTCCGGCTGAGACACAGCCGTGGTCGGAGCTGCCCATTGCCTCCTCTTGGCTCCTGAGGTTAGCTCCACGGAGGACAACCCCTTGGACACCAGGCGACTAACGGGTGAGTGTGGCAGGAGGCAGCGGGCCCTTCTGTGGGTTCCCTGTCAGTTGTGGGGGGGCTGGTGACTGACACGAATTGGAGGCTTTGCCAGCTTGGAGCTCATGTCCCAGATCCTAGGGACCCGTTACCACAGAGTCCTGTTCCTCCCATATGCTGATGTTTGCCTTGCTGGGTCAGACCCAGAGCTTTGGGGACACCCCCTATTTTTGGGGTCCCCATGTCTGCAGGCCTTGCCCAGACTCCATTCTATGCAGTTTTGAGGGGAAACCAGCCATGTGGGTGTATGGCACCCCGGGAATCTGGCCAGCTCTTCCCTGACTCAGGCAGCTGACTAGCCACGGCTGCCTTGGCTGCTCTGCCCGTGGGAAGGACTGGGTGTTTCTGGGCCACAGTGGACGGACGGGGGCCCACTGGACCTAGGGGATCAAGGCGCGACCTAGAGCAAGAGAGACAGGTTCAGAGCCCAGGAAACCAGCTGAGCATGATGGCACAGGCTGGCAGTCTGTGGGGTCACCCAGAAGACAGAGGGGTCTCACGGGAAAGAGCAGTGTGTGTGGGAGCACTCCGTTGTTTTCTTTTGGTTTGGGGAAGTGTTTATCCTGAGACTGGCCTTACTCCCTATGTAGGCCAGGCTGGCCTCCACTTCACAGGTCATCTGCCTCTGCCCAGGGGTGCTGGGGTTAAAGGTGCGTGCCATCATACTGGCTGGGATTTGAGCCTGTCTCTGTGGCTCCAGCACTTGGTCCTGTAGTCCAGGCTGGTCTTGAATTCACACTAAACCTCGCCCCGAAGCCTCATTTCTGCTTGTTTAGTTTTTTTTAATTGCATTTATTTTGAGAGAGAGAGAGAGAGAGAGAGAGAGAGAGAGAGAGAGAGAGAGAGAGAGAGAGAGAGAGAGAGATTAGAGGACAGCCTATTGCCTGGAGTTCTTTTGACGTACACCCGCCTCTGCCTCCTGAGTACCACCATGCCCAGCTTGGCGTCCGTTCTTGCTTTATCATTTGTGTCCTGGGTCCTGAGCACCATGCCATCAGACTGGGTGACAACTGACCTTACCTGCTGCGCCATCTCGCCAGCCCCACGGCACTCGTTTATAAGATTTGCCAGACTCCTATAGCGAGCAGAGAAGGAAGTGAGTACTAGGAATGGTAGGGTGAGGTTGAGGGCCTGAGCACTTGAGGTGCCCCGGACTGGCCGAGGTGTGTGTGTGTGTGTGCAAGTGTGAGTGCAAGTGTGAGTGCATGTGTGAGGCTGGCCAAGGTGTGCCAGTGCTTATGTGTGTGTGTGCGCGTGCATGCTCTGAGGCTGGCTGGGGTATGCCTGTGTGTATGTGTTTGTGTGTGTGTGTGTGTGTGTGTGCAAGTGTGAGTGCATGTGTGAGACTGGCCAAGGTGTGCCAGTGCTTGTGTGTGTGGCCAAGGTGTGTGTGCGTGTGTGCAAGTGTGAGTGCATGTGTGAGGCCAGCCAAGGTGTGCCAGTGCATGCTCTGAGGCTGGCTGGGGTATGCCTGTGTGTATGTGTTTGTGTGTGTGTGTGTGTGTGTGTGTGTCCCCTGAGGCTGGCCAAGTTGTGCCTCCGTGTGTGTGTATGTGTGTGTAAGTGTATGTGCATACATAGACCCACTGTGTGTGTGTATAAGTGTATGTGCATACATAGACCCACTGTGTATATGTGTGTGTGAGTGTATGTGCATACATAGACCCACTGTGTGTGTAAGTGTATGTGCATATATAAACCCACTGTATGTGCATACATAGACCCACTGTGTGTGTATATGTAAGTGTATGTGCATACATAGACCCACTGTGTGTGTAAGCCTATGTGCATATATAGACCCACTGTGTGTGTAAGTGTATGTGCATACATAGACCCACTGTGTGTGTATATGTGTGTGTGAATGTATGTGCATACATAGACCCACTGGGTATTGTGTGTGTGTAAGTGTATGTGCATACATAGACCCACTGTGTATGTAAGTGTATGTACATACATAGACCCACTGGGTGTTGTGTGTGTGTAAGTGTATGTGCATACATAGACCCACTGTGTGTGTATGCGTGTAAGTGTATGTGCATACATAGACCCACTGTGTGGGCCCCAGACCTTCTTGACCCCACTCCCAGCACTTCCCAACATCCCCAGTCTAGCCACAGGCCTCCGTGGCTGACCCCATCCCCCTGGCCAAGATGGAGACTCAGTTCATTTCCTGCCCCCACCTCCCCAAGCAAACAGCTTCAAGACAACCCCAATAAAGCTGCAGTGCCCATAGCAGCTGCTCCCCTGAGTAACAAAGTAAACAGGCTCTGCAGCTTCCCCCAGCCCAGGGTATTGGGCAGAGCAAGCGGCTGCTGCCCACCTTGAGGATGGTTCCGGCAAGCTGAGCATCTGCTGCCCGCTGAGCCACAGGGACTGGGAGGCTAGGATGCTCTCGCCGGGTCTAGGATCCTGGCTGTGCGTGTACCAGCATCTCTTCCATGCTGGGTATGGTGAGTGCCTACAAGTTTTACCTGTCACACATGCTCATAAGGACACTGTGAGTCAGGTGGGTCTCACCCACCACGCAGCCCCGAGGCAGAAGGGCTACACCCCATGGACGTCCAGTGGCTGGTAAGAGCGAGCCCAGCGGGAGACTCCGAGCTGACTGGCCTGCTGTGGCTCGCGCTGAACCCAGAAAAGGTCAGCTCCAGCTAGCTGGAAGACCAAGGCCCTGAGAGCAGAGTGAGGAGGGATGGGTTGAGGGCCACGGGCATCTCTTTCCCTCGGTGTGTTTGTAGCCCCTTGTCTGTTGAGTAAGGTCAGACAGGACAGTCACCTCGGTGAAGGGAGGCATCCTGAAGGACCCACTAGAATGGGGCTTTGAAAGCTGCATAGGAGTCGGCTAGGCATTGGCTGGACTTGCCAGCTTATGTCTTGGACTTGAGGGAGCATACAATGGGCGGGGGGTCCTGGCTCTGCCTCCCACCGGGAAGTGAGGAGGCGCAGTTGAGGCCAGCAGCTATCCAGTCCTGGGTAGTCGGGGAAGGGCAGAGAGCCCAGGCCTGCCTCGCCTCTGCCCTCAGGTCTGCAGCACCCCAGACGTCCCCTCCCTCCTCTCCTCCCATGTCTCCCTTCACCTGTTCCCAGGTGTGCATTCAAGCACACTTCACCACCGCAGCCCACAGGAATGCCCGCCAGTCCTCCAGCCCCTTTACGTCAGGCAACTCGCAGCCATTTAACAAACAGCACGGCCGTCTCACAGGAAAACCCCCAGACCTAGAGTTGGAAAAGAGGAGGCAGAGCCTAGCGCCAGCCTGGGACCCTGCCCTCATCCCAGAGCCCCCGTAGGCAGCACAGCAGGTAGAACTGCTCTTCTCAAAGCAAACCTTGGCACCACTGCCCTGGGCCCTTCCTGACATTTAAGGATCTGGGCTCCAGCTGCCAGCAAGAAGCCTGAACCTGCCGCTCCTCTCCCACCATTCCTCCTGAGCATCGCTAACAACCCAGGCACCTCACTAGCACCCCCCAGGGGCAAGGGACACGCGCCTCCCGGCACAGAAGAAAAAGCCAGTGAGGCCTCTCAGGACTCTTCCGAAGGCTGAGATGGGCTAAGGGGACTGCAGGTGGCTTCCTGTCCGCGTTCAGGCTCTGGGGCTGTGGTAGAGGTCAGGTGAGGTCCCTTCTCTTAGGCAGCAAGGGGCTGCCTCCTGTCCCCTGTGAGTACAGCTTCCCGGCCAGAAGGGGACACAAGTGTGCTGACACTTCCTGTCGTGCCTCCGCACTCTTCTGTCCCAGCCTCCCTGGACAGTTCGTTCTGGGTCTTGGTTGGTTGCTGGAGGAGCGGGTGAAGAGAAAAGCTGCTTTCCCCTGCCCTCTGAGGAGATCCCCTGCCCTCTGAGGAGATTCCCTGCCCTCTGAGGAGGTCCCCTGGGCTCACATGTGCCTGCTAGAGAGAGAATGTAGCCACGTGGAGGGCTCACACACAGAAGAACCAGTAAAGACATGAACTGCATTTTCTGGAAAACTCTGACAGCCAGGCAAAAATGACTTGGCAGGGTTGTTAAGTGGACTCTTCAAGCCCTGTGCTGGGCTTGGGACCTTGCTGGCAGCACAGAGAGGGACAGGCTGACAATAACCGCTGTCAGATAGGAGCCTTTCAGAACCTGTGAACACAACTTCCAGGGACAATTAGGGTACATCCCTCCTCTCCTCCCAGTTCTCTCTCTCTCTCTCTCTCTTTTTTTTTTTTTTTTTTTTTTTTTTGGTTTTTACGAGACAGGGTTTCTCTGTATTGTTTCGGAGGCTATCAGTCCAGCCCGGCCTCGAACTCACAGAGACCCGCCTCTGCCTCCCGAGTGCTGGGATTAAAGGCGTGCGCCACCAACACCCGGCCCTCCCAGTTCTCTTTAAAGTTTTTTTTTTTTCTGTTTTTGGTTTTTCGAGACAGGGTTTCTCTATATTGTTTTGGAGGCTGTCCAGGAACTCGCTCTGTAGACCAGGCTGGTCTCGAACTCACAGAGATCCGCCTGCGTCTGCCTCACGAGTGCTGGGATTAAAGGTGTGCACCACCAACATCCGGCTCTTTTAAATTTTTTAAAGGAGGTCCCACATAGCCCAAATCAACCTTAGTTTACTCTGGGGCAGTGCTGGTCTGTTTGGCGGAGCTGGGCCAAGGCCAGCGCTCCCAGCACCTCAGGCAGGAGGCCTGAACCCAGCTCCCCTGAAGGGCCATGGTGAAGGGCAAGGCTGCTGGGTCCCCGGAGGGAGGACTTGAAAGGCAGGGGTGGGCAGGGGAGTGACAGGCCAGGGGCAGACTGGAGCCTGCAGCAGGGAGGTCAGGGAAATGGCCGGCCTGAGGCTCCCTAGGGCCTGGACTGGCCGGCTCTCTCCAAGATGCTGACACCTGGTGGGCATTGGGGTGCAGGTGTGAGGGACCTACCCACCCTGTGGGGCTCTTCACCAGGGCCTAGTCTTGCCCCAGGCCCTGCCTCTAGCCTATCTAAGGGGTTCGAAGGCTGGGAAGGCTTGGGGAGTAGCCAGCAGCAGGGGTCAGACCTCTACTAGTGAGGCCGCCAGGGGCTGAGAAGGGGGTTACAGTGACTAACTCTTGTCACCTCCCTCACCTGATGTCCCTCAGAGGTGCTTTCCCAGGGCCTGAAGCTGGGTCCTGGGATCTGGGCCACTAAGATTGGGTCCTAGGACACAGGGTGGCTGGGTCTGGAAGAAGGAGCTCCCAACACACGGGCACAGGCATTTCATGAGGGCTTCCCGGGCACCTTTGCTCCCTGAGGATGGAGTCCTGGATATAAACAGAGGACACACGGGGCAAAGGGAACAGGGCACCAAGAAACAGCTGCACTCGGTGTCCCACTGAAACCTCCCCTCGCTTACCTTCCTGGGGGACAGGACTGAGGGACGGACTTCCAAGCTCTGAAGCCCTATCCACTAACCCTCTGACAGTGCCCCGCCGCCTGCCTAGCCTGCAGCAGCTGTCACCAAGCTTTCTTTTGTCTATAGAGACAGCCAGGGCTTCTGTGGCGAGATCAAGCCAGACCCACTGAGCCTTAATCCGGACACGCAGCTTTACCCCCAAGATCAACTGGAGGTTTGGAGACTGGAGGCGTCACTCAGGAGACTGTAGCCCTGGGCAGTTGAGAGAGAGTAGCCTGTGCCCAACATGCCAAGCTCTCAGGCTTGTTTTGGGGGCTCAGGTCTACAGCAGGTCTCTGATTAGGGCCGGATTCTTCAGCCTTCGGGGTCCTCCCTGCCACTCCCTGAGCTTCAGCCCCCCACAAGTCCCCATATCCCCACAGGCAGATGGCTTCTTGAGGATCTAGACACAGGCTCAGTTGCCAGTCACTCATCAGAAGGGAGACGTCAGAGGGGCTCCATGCGGTGGGGGCTTAGGGAGACTGGGGTGAGAGAGAAATGGTATCTTGGGAAAGAGGACAGCAGCATGGGGAGAAAATACCGTGGCTATGCCCACTGCGAGGAGTGCCAGCTTTGCCAGAGCCCGGACGTGAGCAGAACATGCTAACTGGCGGTTCTAGCCGCCACACATTCTGAGTTTGAGTTTCGTGTACGCAGCGCTAGAGATGGAACCCGGGGCTTCGCCGTGCCCGAGCAAACGCGCAGGCCACCAACTGAGCCACATCCCCGCCTGCGGGGCCAGGCCGGCGGTTAGGAGCCACGCTCGCCAGGCTCTGAAGCAGAGAAGTTTGATAAAAGGACGTTAGAAGGAAATGAACTTGACAGTGGGGTGGGACAAGCAGCCAGGAGCAGAAGATGAACCTCGGAGGCTGGAAGGACCCAATCAGGGGGTGGGCAGGACACCCCTGAAGAGGGCGGTGACCAAAGCAGCTCTGGTTCTAGGATCAGAGGCCCCTCACAGGCAGGTTCCTCTCTCCTGAGCCTGGGCATCTTCAGCTATGAAGGGAGACCCCAGTCCATGTCTCCAGGCTGTGGGTGGCTGTCCTATTAGGGTGACTATTGCTGTGAGGAAACACTGTGACCAAAGCGACCTGGGAAGGAAAGGGTTAATTTGACTTACCCTGTTCATCATCAAAGGAAGTCAGGACAGGAAACAGCACAGGGCAGAACCTGGAGGCAGGAGCTGATGCAAAGGGAATGGAGGGGGCGCTGCTCACTGGCTTGCTCTCCTTGGCTTGCTCAGCCTGCTTCTTTATAGAACCCAGAACCATGGGCCTAGGGGGTGACACCGCCCACAGTGGTGGCCGTCCCGTCCCGTGATTCACTAACTAAGAAAACGCCCTGGGTTTCTAGAGGCATTTTTTCTCTACTGAGGCTCCCTCCTCTCAGAAGACTTTAGCTTGTGCCAAGTTGACATAAAACCACCCAGGACAGTGTGTGTGGGCACCCCGGCATGACAGCGCCTGCATTCTCTGGGACACCCTCTCCTCCTGCCTCAGCCCAGCCACGGCCCTGAGGGGCCAGAGGTACAGGCAGCCATTCAGCCAAGCCACCCGGCCCCAGGCACCAGGGACCCCTTCCTGTGCTGCACACATAGATCATCGTCTGCCCGGGGCATGGGTGTGGGGAGACAGAGAGAGAAGGGAGGCTGGGGTCTCTGCTGGGGAAGGGTCCAGAAGGCTCCCTTTGTGCTTGACTGTCCCACCAGCAAAAGAGACCCCTTTTGGGCCGCCTCTCCCTGGGGAGGGTGTGGGTGCCAGGGCTGTGAAGCCTACTCAACAGGTGAGGTAAAGAATGTTGCAGATAGCCGGGCGTTGGTGGCGCACGCCTTTAGTCCCAGCACTGGGGAGGCAGAGGCAGGTGGATCTCTGTGAGTTCGAGACCAGCCTGGTCTATAAGAGCGAGTTCCAGGACAGACTCCAAAATAATACAGAGAAACCCTGTCTCAAAAAAAAAAAAAAAAAAAAAAAAAAAAAAAGAATGTTGCAGACTTTAGATAGCACCCAGACCAGCGCTGACCCAACTGGCCCCTCTTACGACAGTGCCTGGACCCCAGCACCTTTCTCCCCCCCCCTCAACCTGTGGCTGAGGCCTGGCAAACATAAGGCCAGGGAGAATCGAGTTCAGCCTCTTGGAAAGACAGGCAGCTGGGCACAGGGCCCGGGGAGCTGGCAGGGACTCTTCGAACGTGGCAGGCGCAGGACTGCTAGGGATGTGCACGGAGCATGGGAGAGGAGGGATGGAGACAGGAGCAGGCTCTCCTGGGGTGGGGCCATTACCTGGGGTATTGGGTGTGGGCACAGGCCGGGGTGGGGACACAGGGGCAGAGCAGGCTGTGGACACTGCCTCGGTAAACACTAAGGGCCCACGGTACACACGCATGTTTGCACAGAAGGGACTCGAGATGAATCCAGGCCCTGCTCTCTATCCCCCCCCCAAACCCCAGCCCCTCCCCCAGCACCACTGCCCACCCCACCCACCCAAACCCTTTCTTCCTTGTCACTTAAAGCATTCTTGGAGAGGAAATGCTGAAACCAGAGGCAACACCTCCTCCTCCTCCTCTGTTGGCTTTTTGTCCCTGCCAGAGTCTGCAGGGCTGTGCTGGAGAGGGGCAGGGGCTGGGCACTGAGCAAGGAGGGGTGGAGAGAGAGAGAGAGAGAGAGAGAGAGAGAGAGAGAGACAGAGACAGAGACAGAGACAGAGACAGAGACAGAGACAGAGACAGAGACAGAGACAGAGACAGAGACAGAGACAGAGACAGAGAGAGCTGAAATTCATCTCAGTTCTGTTCTGCTAGTCCGAGAGAACAGGAAGGCATTTCTTGAGTTCTAGGACATTTTCAGTCAGGTTAGCCATGGCTCTTGAAGAAACCCAAAGATTCTTCCAGTCTGAACCTTTTCCTTTGCCCCTGCAGTGGCGAAAGTCAGCACACAGTGGGTCCTGGAGCGGGACCAGAGACACATCAAGGTGCCCTGGTCCTCCCCACAGCCCTGTGTGCTGTGCACTTGGGATTCCAGCACTTAGGAATTACAGGAGGCAGGAGGACCAGACGGTCCAGGTCAGCCTGTGCTACTTAAGACCTTAAAAAACTGCCCCCCCCCCCGCCATCTGCCCATGCCCCGTCTTGCCCACACATCCGTTTATTGTCTCCCAGCCAGCCCTGCACTCACTGCCCAGCGACCCAGAAACCCCCCGGCCTCTCCCAGGTCCAGCCCACTGCCTGCTGAGCCCTGAGTCTTGAAGCCAACTTAGTGGCCCCCACGGAGCCAGGGCAGCCGTGAGACCCAGGTTCCCTCCTCTTTTATTTCTGCAGACGCAGCCGCAAGCCTCAGCAGCAGCATGGGCAGTGCCAGTCCAGGCCTGAGCAACGTGTCCCCCGGATGCCTGCTGCTGTCCCCAGATGTGGCGCTGCGGCCAGGTGTGGCGAAGGCAGAGGAGGGAGCAGCGGGCCCTGAGAAGCGGGAATGGAGCCCCAGCCCGCCCGCCACCCCGGAGCAGGGCCTGTCTGCCTTCTACCTCTCCTACTTTAACATGTACCCCGAGGATGGCAGCTGGGTAGCCAAGGTCCCCGCGGCCAGCGCCAGGGAGGAGCTGCTGGAGGAACCTGAACAGTGCCCGGTCATCGACAGCCAGGCCTCTGGGGGCAGCCTGGATGAACACTCGCTAGAGCAGGTGCAGTCCATGGTGGTGGGCGAGGTCCTCAAGGACATCGAGACAGCGTGCAAACTGCTCAACATCACAGCGGGTGAGACCCTCCCTGCCGCCTCCACCGGGGACACAGGCGGGGCGGGGATCTGCCAGATGGACTCTGATCGCCTTGAGCAGCAGAGGACACACAACAGCTAGAACCAGGGCCATGCCCAACCACATCTGCCCTCGCTTAGTGGACAGAACCAGGGCCACGCCCAACCACATCTACCCTGCTCAGTGGACAGAACTGGGGCCACGCCCAACCACGCCAGCCCTCTCTTAGTGGACAGAACCAGGGCCACGCCCAACCACACCTACTCTCTCTTAGTGGACAGAACCAGGGCCACGCCCAACCACATCTACCCTGCTTAGTGGACAGAGAGAGCTCATGCGCTGTCCTGTCACTCAGCTTCCTGCCTTTTCTGAGCTCAGGTCTCCTCTCCTGTCACCCTGTTCCAGCCGCTTGATCTCCCTGTTTTTCCCACAGCACTCACCCAGGACCTTCCCACTGGCTTCTCCTTCGACCGAGCAGGTTTTCCCACGGACAACCGCCCTCCTTAGCCCTCCCCTGGCCTTCTTCAGGTCTTCTCTGACTGCATCCTCACGAGACCACGGATCCCCTGTCGAGGCTGTCTCCTACACACCCCACCCTTGCTCCCCCCATTTTCTTGCTGTCATGATAGGTCTGCCATTTGAAGGTCTGAGGGTGTGTGTTTGTTCTTATCTTGCTCTCTGTCTGCGTCCTCTAAAGGGTGTGCGTATCCCAGTTCCTAGACAGCACTGGATACGAGAGGTACTCAATAAAAAACAGCCACCGACTGACTTCACCCTTCAGGGACGGGGTGACTAAGCAGCCAACAGGACAGAGAGGTCCCTCTGTGTATGGAGCTGGCGTGACGAGGCGTAATTAAACAGCTGAATGTCAATTGATGTGGAGGGAATACCAAGGAACAGAGTGTGTGCGTGTGTGTGCACGCACATGCGTGTGTGTGTGTGTGTGCGTGCGTGTGTGTGTGCGTGTGTGTGTGTGTGTGCGCGCGCGCGTGCGCGCGTGTGCGCCGGTGTGTGTGCCTGGTCCGGGGTGTGTCATGGAGCTAGTGTTGCAGATGGTACCGCTGGGGGAAGGGAAGTCCTGGCCGCCACCCTGTAGCTTTCCCATGGGAAAGAGGGGCTTCTCTTTCCCTCACACTCAGCTCCTGCACCGCCCCCCTCCCATCTGCTAGATGCTCCCAGGTGGTTCCCCATCCAAGGCAGCTCCAGCACAATCTCCTCCTGTCTCCGATTTCCCACACTCCAGAGAGCCCTGCCCGGGAGGGAGGCTGACTCTCCCACAGGACCTCGTCCCCTGTACCGGCTTGGGAGGGCTGTGCTCTCAGAACAATGGGGACAGAAACAAATTGCATTGACCTCAAGGAGGAAAATGGCTTTATGAGGTGGGAGCTGTCTTTCTTGCAGGTCACCCAGCTGGCTGGAACCAGTGTTCTGTCTGGAGAGCTCACTGCCACTGTGACCCAGTCTGGTTCCAGCCGTGTGCCCCTGAGAGCAGTTTCCCAGGGGACACATAGCCACTGAATCCATTCTCTACCTTTAGATGATCCATAGCTATTTGGGGCAGCTCTAGGAGCCCAGCTGTTGTTCGCAAAGCATTGGACAAGGGACGCACCCCCCCCATGTGCCTCAGTTTCTCCATCTCTAAAATCCCAGGACGGAGGGGTTCCTGGGTGGGCTTTCTCCTTGAAAAGATTGTGGATGGCAAGAGGTATCTGGCTGATTGTGGTTGAATGTCACTGTCCCCTTCAGAGCTAGGGTCTCCAGAAAGGCCCTGTGGGAGGCTGGACAGACACCTGGACCTGACAGGGTTGCAGAGACAGCAAGCTTGTGTTAGGGCTGCGGCTTTTCTTTCTCACTTCCTTTTTGGGGTGTGTGTGGAATCCTGCCGCCACAGGGCTCCCCCAGGCTTAGGAGTGCATGGTCCTGGGCACAAAGCCCCATGGGTGTTGGGTGTTGTCCACCAGCGGCCCCAGCTAAGATGCTGTCTCTCGCCCAGACCCTGGGGACTGGAGCCCCGGCAACGTGCAGAAGTGGCTGCTGTGGACGGAGCACCAGTACCGGCTGCCTCCGGCGGGCAAGGCCTTCCAGGAGCTGGGCGGCAAGGAGCTGTGTGCCATGACGGAGGAGCAGTTCCGCCAGCGCGCACCCCTGGGCGGAGACGTGCTGCACGCTCACCTGGACATCTGGAAATCAGGTGAGAGCCAAGACCGCACAGGCCACCGCTCTGACACTGTGCTGGGATTACAGGCACGCATTCCACGCCGGGGTCTTACGTTCTCCGTTTTAAAAGGGAAAAAAACTTAAAAAAAAAGATTTATTTATTTATTATGAATATAACATCCTGCCTCCATGTCTGTCTGCAAGCCAGAAGAGGGCACCAAATCTCAATACAGATGGTTGTGAGCCACCATGTGGGTGCTGGGAATTGAACTCAGGACCTCTGGAAGAGCAGTCAATGCTCTTAACCTATGAGCCATCTCTCCAGACCGGGAAAAAGAACTTTTTAAGGTTAGCTTTATGTTTTATTGAAGAAGTAATGGAGGCTGTCAGGGCCGCTTGGTGGATTAAGACGATTGCCCCCAAGCCTGACAACTCGAGTTCAATCCCTGGGACCTGCATGATAGGAGAGGATGAAGTCTCCCAAACTGTCCCCTGGCATCTGCACGAGTGGTGGCACGTCTGTGTTTACTCACTCACGCAGCACTGACGTCTGTTTACACATGCACGCAGCACCGACGTTGTCTGTGTTTGCACACTCACACAGCACTGACATCTGTATTTACACACTCACGCAGCACCGACGTTGTCTGTGTTTACACACTCACGCAGCACTGCTGCCTGCTCACTTTGGAGGGTTCCACACTTGCTCAGTGGGTCAAGGCCCGTTCCCTTAGAGGTCTGGGGTGAATGGGGGCAGAACCCACTCGGGTGACTCTGTGAGCGGTCGCTGTCTGCCCCAACCCAGGCACCTGACCCGTGGATGTGACCTGAGCAGACGGGCTTTGTCCCTGGCTGATGGCCTAGCAGTGGGCAGAGCCGCGGGGAGGGGGGGGTGGATAACCGGAGGGGAAGGGCAGGTGGCCGCGGGGGGGGGGGGGATAACCGGAGGGGAAGGCCCGGTGCGGAACGCCAAGGCCAGGCCTCAGCACCTGCCACCTAGCCACAGCTCCAAGTGAGGTCCCTGTCCCGTTCACAGCGAGGAAAAGGAAACCCCTAAACACGGTGACAGCAGCTCTCAGTGAGTGGCAGCTCTCACATCCCCACCCCCTTGCCAGCGGGAGGCAGGGAGCTGTAGGACCCCAGCCACAGGCGTCATCCAACCTCCCCTCCTTGTCCCGCAGCGGCCTGGATGAAGGAGAGGACCTCGCCCGGGGCGCTTCACTACTGCGGTGAGCCGGGCGGGCGCACGCAGGCCTGGTGGGGCCGGGGGAGGCTGCCCGGGGAAGCGGGTGGTCGCAGCTGCCGCTCACGCCGCGCCCCCTGGCTTCCAGCCTCCACCAGCGAGGAGGGCTGGACGGACGGCGAGGTGGATTCGTCGTGCTCGGGGCAGCCCATCCACCTGTGGCAGTTCCTCAAGGAGCTGCTGCTCAAGCCCCACAGCTACGGCCGCTTCATCCGCTGGCTCAACAAGGAGAAAGGTACAGGGCGGTCATCAGGGCTGTCGGAAGGGCAGGCTGCGCTGGGAGGGGCCAGAGCTGGAGGGTGGGGCTCACGTAGGGCGGGGCTCCGGGGCTGTGGGGGTGGGGCTGGGGCCCGGGGCCGGGTGGGGAGGGGAGGAAAGGCGGGGTTTCTGTGGGGTGGAACTCCCCCCTGGGAGCGTGGGCAGGGCTGGGGCGGGGCGCAGGCTCTGGCAGGGCAGAGCTCTGATCGGGGCGTGGCTCCATCCGGGAGGGGCGCTGGGGGTGTGGCCTAGACTGACTCCACCTTCACCTATGCCAAATGTGCCACTCAGAGGTCCACACCCCTGCAACGTCAAGCATTTTAAGGTTTAGGGTGCTCTTCGTATCCTCATTGGCCTCCGCCAGGCTTCGCCTGGTACTGATTGCCTCAGCACCTCAGTGGCCGGAGCACAGTGCGAACCTGAGAGTATTGGCTGAGCATGGGAAAGCATGGCTTCGGTAGGGCGTGCGGGGGTGGGGGGGGGGGCGCACAGGCCTTTAAGGCCAGCACTGGGGAGCCAGTGCCTGGCGGCGAATTTTACACCACCCCCAGTCTACATAGAGAGATCTCGTCTCAAAAAATCAAAACAGGACTGGAGGGTCACCTCAGTTGTTAAGAGTATTTGGGGGCACAGTTGGAGAGATGGCTCAGTCAGTTAAGAGCGCTGGCTGCTCTTCCAGAGGTCCTGGGTTCAATTCCCAGCAACCACATGGTGCCTCACAACCATCTGTAATGAGATCTGGCGCCCTCTTCTGGTGTGCAGGCACACATGCCGGCAGCACTGTATGGTCTTCCAGAGGACAAGGTTCAATTCCCAGTACCATGTGGCTGCTCTCACTCTCTCCATGTCCAGCACCAAGGATCTGATGCCCCCACTCTGACCTCTGCGGACACCAGGCACACAGGCGCACATAAACACTCATCCACATGAAATAATAAAATAAACCTTTATAAAATCTTAAAAACCGGCCGGGCGTTGGTGGCCCACGCCTTTAATCCCAGCACTCGGGAGGCAGAGGCAGGCAGATCTCTGTAAGTTCGAGACCAGCCTGGACTACCAAGCGAGTTCCAGGACAGCCTCCAAAGCCACAGAGAAACCCTGTCTCGAAAAAAACCAAAAAAAAAAAATCTTAAAAACCAGAAGACATCATGTTTTGGGGGCCGGTGAGACAGTTCAGTGAAGGCAGGCACTTGCCACCAAGTCTGAAGACCTGAGTTCAATCCCCGCAGGATGGAAAGGGAGACGATTCTCTCTGAAGCACATCAGGGCACATGACACACGCTCGCATGGTCATGAGCAATAAATAAATGAATGTAAAACACTAATAACAAGAAACATCATAGCCTCAGACTAGAGAGACTCACGGTATCTACCAGAAACACAGTGTGTGAGCCCCATATGTATTAAATGTTCTCGGTCCAGAATTGAAATGTTAAAAAAAAAAGTGTATTTCACTTTAATGATCTAGGTTGCCTGACTTTTAATACAAAGTTCCTAAGTGCTCCCCAAATGCCAACTCTACAGACCACCACCATGGATCTCTGGCCAGGAAAGTCTGTCAAACAAGTCCCAAATCCTAAAACTCTAAACTCTGATGTGATTCTGACCCCAAATTTCAGATTAGGGATACTCAGCCTGCATTTGATCTAATACTATGTATCATAAATTGGAATTTCAACCAGTCGTAAAAGTAAAAATTATTGAAGTATGTTTGCACATGCCTTTAATCCCAGTACCCCAGAGCCGCCAAGGCTACGTAGAGAAAGAAGGGAAGGAAGAAAGAAAGATGTTTGCTATGTCTTGGGGCCTGTCCCTGGGCCCAGGGCTGAAGCGGGACCCAGCATCTATCCCTTACGAGTTCCCCCAAAGTGACCCATTGGTCTTGTCTACTCCTCCTCATGACCTCCACATGCCCCCCTTCTCTCTTCCCGCCCTCTTTCCCCCAGGCATCTTCAAAATTGAGGACTCTGCACAGGTGGCCCGGCTTTGGGGCGTGCGCAAGAACCGGCCGGCCATGAACTATGATAAGCTAAGTCGCTCCATCCGCCAGTATTACAAGAAGGGGATCATTCGCAAACCCGACATCTCTCAGCGCCTGGTCTACCAGTTTGTACATCCCGTCTGAGAGCCACAGAGGCCGCAGGCCGACCACCCGCCCCAGACAGCCACTGCTGTCCTGCTGGCCTGGGCCTCTGCCCAATCTGAATGCCCAGAGTCCAAGGTCACAGAGAAAAGGTCACTTGTGTGGGGATGAACATGAGCTCTCTGGGTCCCTCTGCAGGTCATACTGCTCAAGTACACAGACCCCTGGAGGGTCTTGGGAACTAAGACGGCTTACAATTGGAAATGTCCCCAAGCCAGGCTTGGACTGTGGGATTCTCAAGAGAACCACCTACGTCACCAAGGCAACTCACAGGACAATGACGTTCCCACTTTCTGCTCCTGCCACCCATCCTGTACCATGACTGGCACGGTGCTAAGAAGTGTCTGCACCCTGTGTTGGGGAGTCAGGGGTGCCCTAAGGATGGATAATAAAGATACAAGATAACTGACGGGTCCCCAGTGTCTGGCTGTGGATGGCACAGCCAGTGGGCCAGCAGGGGGTCAAAGGTGACTGTGGTCACAGGTGTCTTGGGGTGGTGACCACAGGGAAAGTGCCCAGGGAGGTGTCATGGAGCCTAAGACAGAAACAGTAGCTGTTTGGTAGATGCCATAGAAGAGGGAATTCTCCAGGCCAAAGTCGCTAGTCTAGCCAGCTACTGCGTCCTCCTCAACCCTGGCTGAAGTGAGAGGTGACGGGCCCAAAGTAAGGACGGCAGCCTCTGCACCTGCTGTCGAAGGGCAGGACTCGCTGCCAGGTGTGCCCAGGTGTGCCAGGGGTCAGGCTCCCCTGCAAGAGGCCTAGAGCTGCTGTTATGCGCTCGGTCACCTAAGAAGGCTGAGCCACCTGGAGGACTATGGGAGGCAGTGGCTTTGTACGCATGGTGGGTTTGCAGTCTCTGTGCCCCCAGAGGCCTCCCATGATCCATCTGTGGAGTTGTGAGTCCCTTACCTGGGTGTGAGAGCCGCCTGAGTGTAGGGGGGGCTGGGTGTGCATCTGCCCGCGTGTGGAGACCCCAGACCATCTGAGACACCCAAGGTGTCACACTTCCCTGGTTTCTTTGCCCAAATCAAGCATCCCCAGGACCTGCCCGGCGCTAGCCACTCCCACTGCCTTTTTGTCATTTATCTTTGAAAGAAAACGATGAAGTCAGGGCCGGTTCTCCATTCTGCACGTGGGGAACTTGAGGGCCAGGATGACTGTGCCGTTAGCTCTCGGTGATGCAGCTATGGATGCCAGGAGTCGAGCTCACACTATCCCTCCCTTTCCTTCCCAAACGGGCTGGCACGTTAGCACCACAGCCCTTAGCTTCTGAGACCAGTTTTCTAGGAGAAAGGACAGGGAGCCAGCACCTCTGGGAACACCAAAAGTTTTTTTATTTTTTCATTTTTGTTTTTTTTTTTTTTTTGAGACAGAGCTTCTGTGTATTGTTTTGGAGGCTGTTCTGGAACTCTCTCTGTAGACTAGGCTGGCCTCGAACTCACAGAGATCCGCCTGCCTCTGCCTCCTGAGTGCTGGGATTAATGGGGTACGCCACCAATGCCTGGCTCAAAAGGTTTTTGTTGTTATTGTTGTTTGGTTTGGTTTGTTTTTTGTTACACAGTGACAGGGTTTCTCTGTGTAGCCCTGGCTGTCCTGGAACTCACTCTGTAGACTAGGCTGGCCTTGAACTCAGAGATCCACCTGCCACCACCGGGCTGGACCACCAAGGGTTAAAGCGTCTTGAGCCCTGTCTTCTGCCCCCAGCAGTTTTATTGCCTCCCAAAGAATGTTTACCCCTGACAGTGAGCAAACAGTGCCTTGGCATCTGTCAGTCAGGACGGGACGGGAGGCGGGGGCACTTCCCAGCTGTCTCCCATCTCCAGGGAAAAGGCAGACTGGGACCCTGGCCAGAGGCAGGCTCGGTGCTCTGTTAAACTGGTTTTGTCTCCAGCCAGCCCATCCTGCCCCTCAGGAGTCCCTGAAGTCACCTGCTTGGCTGTCCCAGCTGTGCCTGGGCCAGACTCAAAGCTCAGTTAGGCTTTGGGTTTCTCAGGTGGGCAGGGGGGTTGGCGAGCAGGAACAGCTCCACCTAGTGGAGGTATGGGAGAACAGAGGGCAGCTTGCATCAAGGCACATCCAGCCAGAAGGCGGCTTCTTCAATCCAGTGAGGCCCTTCTAAGAGTCCTGGGCCAAGCATGGAGGCCCAAGCCTGTAATACTAGCATTTGAGAATAGGGGGCGCAGGAGTTCAAGGTCACCCTCAGCTACGCAGCCAGTTAGAGGCCAGCTGCATGACTATTATTATTTTTAGATTTTACTTAATGCATGTGCGTGTTTTGCCTGCATGTGTGTCTGTACACCACATTCATACAGTGCCTTCGGAGGTCAAAAGAGGGTGTAGGACCCCTCCCCCGGGGACTGGAGTTACAGAAGGCTGTGAGCTGCCGTGTGGGTGCTGGGGATTGAACCTGGATCCTCGGCTACAGCAGACAGTGCTCTTAACCACCGAGTCATCCTTCCGGCCCTAGTGAGACTCTAGTTTTAGGAAAGAAAAGAAAAGAAAGGGATGATTAAAGTGGAGGGAGGGAGGGAAGGAGGGAGGGAGAGGGGAGGGAGGGAGGGAGGGAGGGAGGGAAGGAGGGAGGGAAGGAGGGAGAGAGGGAGGGAGAGAGGGAGGGAGGGGGAGGGAGGGGGAGGGAGAGAGGGAGAGAGGGAGAGAGGGACGGAGGAAGGGAAGGGAGGGAGGGAGGAAGAGAAGGGGGAGGGGAAGGGGGGAGGGGAAGGAAAGCAGGCTCAGCCAGTAGAGGGTCATGCAGGGAACCCAAGGCTCCCCCCTGCCCTCTATAGGTCTGTGTGGAGGCACGTGTACACCCAAACATGCTCTTGGCTGCTGGGTCTCGGGAACATTCTCACATATTCAATAAATGTGATGTAGATAAACCGTTTGAAGGAGGAGAATGAAAGAAACAAGAGAGAAGAAGGCTGTCTGGATAAGAGTGGGCTTCAGCTAGGGATGGATGACCATGCCGGCTTCATCTTCTCTCACTGTGTGCGCCCTGGGGTGGGGGAGTGCCGCGCCTGTGCGCCCTGGGCTGGGGGGGTGCCGTGCCCGTGCGCCCTGGGCTGGGGGGGTGCCGTGCCCGTGCGCCCTGGGCTGGGGGAGTGCCTGCGCATGCGCCCTGGGCTGGGGGGGTGCCGTGCCCGTGCGCCCTGGGCTGGGGGGGTGCCGTGCCCGTGCGCCCTGGGCTGGGGGAGTGCCTGCGCATGCGCCCTGGGCTGGGGGGGGTGCCGTGCCCGTGCGCCCTGGGCTGGGGGAGTGCTGGGTTATGTTGTGTGAGGCCCTATCAGACTGCCAGGGTCAGAAGAGCCTGATACCCCACAGACCCGGGGAGCTGAGGCAGGGGAAGGGGGCAGCGTGGGTCTCAGAAATGGCCCAGCTGAGGTGCAAGCGGGCATCAGAGTTCTGGGATGGGCCTGGAAGGGCATGGAGAACAGATGTTCCCAGGTGGCCTCCTACAAAACCGTGTTCACAGCGGGCAAGCCGCAGGAGAGCAAGAAGACCCAATGTCACTCCGTGGGAGGCCCCAGCCATGACTTTCTACAACTCCGCTTTAAAACTCAGAACTGTTTGAAGACGGAGTTCACCCTTGAACCAGCAACTTAGCTATTAGTGTTTGATTGTGGCGGCTGGCAGGGAAACGACCTCCCACATTAGACAAGGACCAGCTGCCCATACTTCCAGCCTTAGAGGCACGGGTTTGGGACTTTAAGTGCCAAGTCCACTGGTCAGTGCTGTCACCTGTCACCTTGTATCTGAGGCCAGAGACTCAGTGACCTCCCCTGGACCTCCCTCAACTGCCCAGCTGTGCAGCACTTAGCCCTGGGGGCCACCTCCCCCAGTGCAGACATTTTCATCACAGAGAACCCACACAAACCCCCAAACTAAAGATGTACATGACTCAGATGACAAGTGCAGCCAGGTTGACAGAATTCTGTTTTATCCACAGCCATACAGTCACAACTGATATATATATATATAATTTGTATTTATATACCTTTAAATTACACAATCATGTACAAAACAGGTGCATCGCTGAGACCACAGCACTTCTCGGAGTTTCACAAGTGTCGGAACTAATGGAGTCAGGAAGCCGAGGGCGGCAGATGCATTGGCGGCGGGCAGCAAGGCAGCCTGGGCTCCTCCTGGAACTAGGCTGCAGGATGGTGGTTTAACTGGGGTTTAACACATCACTGACCGAGCCCTGCAGGGTCCCGTGCAGCATCAAAGGGGCCCTTGGGGAGTTACGGAGGGATGTGGACACGGCCAGGGTACGGTCCGGCCCGAGGTTGAGTGCCCTGACACCAATAATGATAGGTGGGACTTGGCTCGGGGCTCTAGGGACTTCACGGGGAGGGGGGCACCCTCCGGCACCAAGGTGCTGAGGAGTTTGAGGACCGACCAAGTGTGGTCCCAGAGGGGTCACTGAAGGTGGTTGTTCACAGGGGATAGATTTTTCCAGTCCCTGCCCAGGAGTGGGCAGCTAGTGTACTGAGTCAGGGCCACAGCCCCTCCCCAAGTGCTGGGAGCCGCTGTGCAGAGGGGGAGCCCAGGCCCCAAGGTGCAGACACAGCGGCTTCTGGTCTTTCTGGGTTGTAAGGGGGGGGGTGTAGAGGTGGAGGACTCCTGCCAGCTGGGGAGGCAGGAGGAGCTATGGAAAAAGGAGGACTTTGAATCCTTCCAGTCCTGAGGGGCCCAGGACCCAACCTAGGCTGCAGCTGAAGCCCCTAGTCCACCACAGGCCCCTGCCCCGGTCCTAATCATGAGACGGGGGGATCAGAGCCCCAACGCCTGGGCCCATGACGTTAACAGTGTCAGAAGAAGCAGCTAATTGTCCTAGAGAACACAGAGTCGCACACTTTCCCTGGAGGCCCAAAAGGCCACCTGATTCGGGAGGCAGAGGGTGTCTGTGACCCAGAGGCCTATCAGACACCAACTGTAAGCATGGGACATCTCAGGTCCTTGTTCCCAAAAGTCCAAGTACACAGCCTCTGGCAGTTCTCCCCAAAGGAGAGAGAGCTCTACCCAGCTTCCAACCGCAAGGGCCAGTGTCCCTCCCCTCCCACCCCCAGAGTCCCTTAATGGAGACTCAGGCTTAGAGAAATGGAGGTGGGGGGCTGCCAGCATTCGGGGGGGGTGTTGGAAAACTAGAAGGGACAAGGAAGATATGGTAACCATCTGGAGTTCCCTTCCCATGCCAGCCTGAGCCACTGGCTTCCCCTTACAGTGCCAAGCTGGAAGCTCCCCTAAGTCTGCCTGTCTCCCCAGATGAATGAGAGGGGACCTGGCTGCTCCCCTGAGCCCCTGCATCTCCTAGGTTGGCTGATGAGAGCCAGAAAAGGAAGGTTGAGAGCCCTGCAGGTTGGCTTCACAGAGGCTGATGTGGACACAGTGATGGGCATGGGGGGGCATTTCCGGATGGCCATGAAGGCAGGGGGATGGGTGGCCAATGCCTCTACCCCAGGGAACGGGAGAAGGCTGCTACTGTTGCTGGCTTTGCCCTGGGCTTGGGGGGGGGCTCTGCCCAGTGCCGAGGCCTCGGGAGAGGGCCAGGGGCCTCTGCAGGCTGCTGAGCGGCTCTGAGGAGGAGCCCTCTGTCCATGGGCCCAGACAGGGTTTGCATCTCCCAAAGTGGGCCTAGCGTTGGGAGGGCTGGCGCAGCCCGGAGGGAGGACCGGTCTACCCCTCGCTCCCCCGAGTGCCAGGGATGCCATCACTTCCTCCGGCTTCGCCTGCCTTCATGTCTGGGGAAGGGAAGAGAGCCCTGGAACCTGCACAGAGGAGGTGACCAAAAGATCGGGGACAAGAGCACCCCCAGGGCAGAGTGGAAGACTAAAGATTGGGAGACCGCCTTCTTGGGGTATGGAGGAAACCTGTGAGGGGCGGGTAGTGGTAGGAGGGGCCAGGGGAGGGATGAAGGGGCTAGGGAGCCGGGCTCAGGTGACAAGGGCAGCTGCTGGCAGCCTGGAACAGTGAGGCAGGGTAGAAGGATCCAGAAGAAATCCCTCATGGCTCGGGAGACTCTTTGGTGGACTCTGTAGCGCAGATGTGACAATTGGGCTAAGTCCCAAGACCCTCGCCCACGCTGGGGCCATCGTCCTAAGCCCCACCACCCTGGCCTCCAGGTAGGCTGCTGCAACTGCTGTCTCTTTGCATTTCTTCTTTTGTTCTGTTTTGACTTTTAAAAAAATAAAAGCTTGATCGGAAAATATGTCTGGAACTCTATGGCGAAGGGGAGGAGGAGGGGAGAGGCGGCGGATAGGGAGTGAGGATTTGGGTGGGCAGGGTAGCTATATGGCCTCAACGTAGTTGGCAGGGTAGAGGCCCAGCTGCCCGCTGTCCAGACGCCCGCGGCACCAACCCTGCTCATCCTCCTCTCCTAGCTTGGTGAGCTCGTCTCCTGCGGGAGGGGACACAGGGACACCTTGCTAAGATGGATGGGCACTCAGACCGGAACTGTCATAGCACAAAGCTGCTACATGAACCCTCCAAGGCACCTCTCTGCCCCCGTGCTCCGGCTGATTCACCCGGACTCAGATTCGGGGCTACAGACCACTTCAGCCAGCACCTTGCTGGCTTTTGGGGGCCCCACCCGCGTGCACAGGTCTCTGCCCTGGGCCCTCCCCTCCCAGTCCTTGAAACACCTGTCTCTAAAGCCAAGCCTTGCGTGACCCAATCCAAGCCCAGGCTTCTCCGCTAGCCCCGCCCCTCGGCCCCGCCCTCCTTACCGGCCTTGAAGCTGAGCTCATCCTGCTCCTGGCCATCGTAGTCGTAGAGTGCCCGCACGCGCACTCCCTTGGCATCGTCGTCGAAGGGGTTGGCGCCGCCATTAGCCTCATTCCCCCCGAAGGGGTTCCCACTCTCGTCATCTGACCACTCGGCGGCATACGGTTGGCCTCGGTCATAGCTGCTAACGCTGAGGTGCAAATGGAGGCCCTCTATCAGCGACCCTGCCCCTCCCCCATCAATACCCTCTCCTCCCCAGAGCTTGGGTCCGAATTCTATGGAGGAGGCCCGGGCAGAGACCGGATGCACAGGGCGGTGTCAGGGCCAGTGACCCTCTGGCAACTTGAACATTGTGTGTGTCAGCTCCTGAGGGACAAAGAGCTGCAGAGGACCCATACTGTCCGATCCTGTGAAAGGGGCACTGTCCCTAAACGGGTGCCAGCTGGGCCTTCCGTGGTTAAGAGGTGTGACGTTGGGCGTGCTGCCTCGTCTCTCTGGTCTGAAGCTCCCTTACCCTTAAAATGCGCACATTTGTACATTGCCAGACCGGCCAGAGGCTTGAATCTAGGACTGCAAGGAGAGTGCTCAACATACTGTGTGACCAGCCAGGTGTTGGTGGTGCACGCCTTTAGTCCCAGCACTCGGGAGGCAGAGGAAGGCAGATCTCTGTGAGTTCGAGGCCAGCCTGGTCTTCAAGAGCTAGTTACAGGACAGCCTCCAAAAGCCTTGGAGAAACCCTGACTCAAAAAAAAAAAAAACTGTGTGACCCCCACAACAGGTGTCTTGAAGGGTCACCCACCTGTTTTTCAGAGGACGCATAGCAGCTATGGTCTGGGGTCATTTCTTGTCTTCTTGGATACAGTGTATCTGTCCCAGGATGTCGGGTCTCTCTCCTACCCAGGAACTCCACGGGAGGTACTCACCTGCCTCGGTCCCCAGCTTGGGATGTGGACTCCACAGCTGCGGTGGCATTGCTCAGTGTGGCCCCCTCTGCCTTCTTAGGCTGTTTCTCCTTCTTGGCGGTGGTGTGGGGGAGGTCTGGATTCCACTCCTGGGGGCAGAGAGAAGTCAGGCAGAGGGGTCTGAACCCCTCCTAACCCCCCAAGGATTTCCTGCCACCCTGGGCATCCTCACCTCAAACTGAGGCCAGCTCATGGGCATCCCAGGGCCACTGGTGCTGCGGAACCACCTGAGGTCCTCCTGGGCATCGGCTCCCCGGATGGCCTGCTCCAGCTCTCGGTAGACATGGGTATAGCTGCGGGGGGGGGGGGGGGTTGGCTTTATTCTCATCCCATCCCCAGCCAGGATGCTGGGCCATCCCCAGCCAGGAAGCAGAGGTCCACCCCCCTCCGTACGGATTCATTTTACGTGTGCGGGTGTTTTGCTGCGTGAATGTGTTTGCACCACGTGTGTCCCTGGTGTTCCCGGAGGCCAGAAGAGAGCACTGGATTCCGTGGAACCGGAGTCAGGGGTGTTTGCAAGCTACCAAGCCATGTCTCCAGATCTTCAACTTGTTGGGGTTTTATTTGTTTGTTTCCTTTAGCTGTTCAAGACAGGGTTTCTCTGTGTAGCCTTTGATGTCTTGGAACTCACTCTTGTAGACCAGGCTGGCCTCGAACTCACAGAGATCCGCCTGCCTCTGCCCCCTGAGTGCTGGGACTAAAGAGGTGTGCCACCACTGACCAGTGTGTTTTTTAAACACTTTTTTTTTCTGCAACTTGTTTTGTTTGGAGGCGGATTTGTAGCCTTAGCTGGCTTTGAACTCATGGAGATCTGCTTACCACTGTGGTTTAGATTTATTTTTATTCATGTGTCTGTGGCTTTGGGGATCAAAGCTGAGTCACCAGGTGTGGGTGCCGGGAACCCAACTCTGGACCTCGGTAAACGCGGCCAGTGCTCCAGTTGAACCACCTCTCCAACCCAAGATTTATTTATTCCTGAATTTTATTTTATATGCGTGTGCCAGCGAGTGTCCCCAGAAGGTGACAGAACCTCTGATAATGGAGTTACAGGCAGTTGTGAGCTACCGGATGTGGGTTCTGGGAAGGGAGCTCAGGTCTTCCCTCAACTCCAGCACTCTCAGCCCCAGCAGCCTCTCAGCGGCCAAGCACCGGGGTAACTAGAGAGCGCTGCCTCACCCCTGCAGCAGCGGCGTTTGCAGACTCTTCCCGATGCTCCCTGCAAGTCCTCCCTCTCCTCCCATCGCCGGGTCTGGGTGCCTGCACTCCAGCTATGCAGCAGGCCGCGCCCAGGTTACCTGCTGTTCTCCGCTAAGTTGAGGTGCCGTTTGATATCCAGCAGGACTTCCTTAAGGAAGACGAGTCGCTTCTCCTCAAATTGCTGGCACTGCTCGAACACCTGCTCCATGCCCTCCATGTACTGTGGCGTGGCTTTGCCCACGTCTTCCAGCACCTTCTCGTACTTCTCCTGAGTCTGCGGGTGCCAGGGTGGAGGTCAGGGTGGGGTCTCCCAGCTGCCACCCTCGGGACCCCTGCCGTCCCCCCACAGGTACGGTACGGTCTGCCTGAGCTCGCTGTCACCCCTCCCCACATCCCCCCCCACAGGTACCTTTTGCACATCCTGCCTGCACTTGTCCACCTTGTCCAGAAGTTTCTTCTGCTGCTCGGGGGTGACCGACTGCTCCGTCTTACTGTTCATCTCCCGAGTCATGGCCAGCTTCTCCTCTTTGCAAGCCAGATGATAGGCCTTCTTGGCCGCCTCCAGCTGCGGGGAGAAGGCCAGGGTGAGAATGCATCACCAGCATCTGCCTGCCAACCCCACGTACCCCCACTGTGGAGCTGCCCTTGTGAGAGGCAAAGGGGCTGCTGGCTCCGGCTCCGAGGCTCAGCCCACGACCTCATCTGTGGGTGCTGCTGTGGAGGCTGCTGGCCGTGTGCCAGACCCCAGAGGGGGGACCCCCGTGTGGACAGCGCTTTCCGCAAGGCGCCTTGTTCCCTGTGGGTCCCCTCGCCACCCTTGAGCTGGCCCCCTGCCCGCCTGTCTGAGGCACCTCCTTCATCTTCTTGGCCCAGGGCTTCTGGGCCTTCCGGAAGCCGTCCTCCGCCTCCTTGGTCTCCTTGAAGCCGCCCATGATCTGCTTGTGGTAGGCATCTTTCTGCCAGTTCTTCACTTTCTCCAGGTCCTCGCCCAGCAGGCTGTTCTTCACCTCCTGGTGCAGCTCGCTCACCTTCTCCGCCTCCGTCATCATGGCGCCCCAGGCCCGCTCCAGGCTGCCGTACTGCGGACCTGGGCGGACGCGTCAGGGCGTTACAGGGACCCCGCGCACAAGGCCCACAGTCCTCTCCCTCTTCCCTGATGCTTCCCCTCTCTTCCGATGGCGACAGAAACACCTTCCTTCGCCATCCCCAGACTTCTACCCATCTTTTTTTTCCTTCGAGACAGGGTCTCTCTGTGGCTTTGGAGACTGTCCTGGAACTCGCTCTGTCGATCCTAACCCTAACCTCTGTATTGTTTTGGAGGCTCTCAGTCCAGCCTGGCCTCGAACCCACAGGGATCCGCCTGCCTCTGCCTCCCGAGTGCTGGGATTAAAGGCGTGCACCACCAACACCCGGCTTGTTTATCGGCTCGTTTGAAGTCCCTGATTATGACGGACGTAAGCAACTGCTGTTCTCGGATACGTGGAGTTTGGAAATGAGGGTGACAGCTCTGATTTCCCTCAAACAGTTCAGAAAAATGTGCGTATTAATGGAGGAAAAACCCGTCTGGCAGATCCCAAGGCTAGCCTGGGCTACACAGCAAAACCAAGAAAAAGAAAAGGAAGAAGAGCCCAGCGGAGGTGGCGCACTGGGAACTCTGTGAGTTCGAGGCCAGGCTGGACCGACAGCCTCCAAAACAATACAGAGAAACCCTGTCTCGTAAATACCAAAAAAAGAAAAAAGAAGAGGAAGAGGAGGACGAGGAAGCAGCAGAAGCCAATGCTGGTGGTGCAGTTTAACCCCACACTCCTGATGCGTTGGCGGACGGTTTAACCCCGAACTTGGGAGGCAGGGGCAGGCGGATCGCTGCATCGCTGCGCTGGCCTGCTCTACAGAGCGAGTTCTAGGAGCCGGGGCTACAGAGTAAGATTCTGTCCAAAAGGAATGAAAGAGAGGTGGGGGAGGGGAGGCTAGGCACAGGCGTCTACACCTGTAATCTTTGATGTAGGGGGGGAGGCGGGAAGATCCGGATTTCAGGGTCATTCTCAGCCACATAGAGGGTTGGGGGCCAGCCTGAGCGACTGGGATTCTGTCTCAAAATTAAACAGAAAGTTACAATGAAATGTTAATTAATGTTAGCTGGTGAAGCTGGCTGAGGGGTACCCAGGGGTTCTCTGCACAATAATGTGACTGTTCTGGAAGTTTCTCTAAAAATAAAAAGTGATAAATGCGTGTGTGTGCGTGTGCGTGTGTGCGTGTGCGTGTGTGTGTGCACTCCGGAGTTGTACAAAGCAGGAGAATGCAGGGTCTCAGGTTGTGGAAAGCCCTGTGGCTGGGTTGCTGGTGTACCGGGGGCCTTCCCTGGGGGGACCCGCTAGAGCCCGGGGTGGGGCACCTTTTTCGATCAGCTGGCGCCAGCGCTTGGCCCAGTCGGTGAGCTGCTGCGCATAGGCTTTCTCGATCTTGGCGCGCTCCTGCACGCAGCTCATGAGGTCGTTGCACAGGCGGTGGCCGTCGTCAATGCGTTTCACCGTCCGCTTGTAGTTCCCCACCTGGCGGCAGAGCAGAGGGTGACGGGGCGGCGCCTGTGATCCTGACCCCGGCCTGCAGGGGGCGCGGCGCCACCGGCCTCGGCCCGCCCTCCACCTTGGGGACTCCCAGAACTCCACGTCAGACCCCACGATCTCCACCTACCCTCCTCCTCCAAAGCCTCGTCACTGCCATAAGAAGCAGTTTTATATAATTTGGACTTTGGATAGAATAAATTATTCATTTTGTTCTTTTTATACGAGTCATATAAGCTTCAGCGGAGCTACCGTTGTTTTTTTTTTGACACAATATTATGTTCTGTGGACATCTCATTAAGCACTTATTAATCTAGGTCTGCTAGTTTCTTTATCGGTTTCCAAAGCCAAAAGCAATTTTCTTCCCCTCCAGGTCTCGAATGCTCTCAGAACCCCCTACAGCGCTGTCTTGTAGTTCTCACCTCCGTCTCTATGGGGCTGCGGGGTCCCTGGGCTCACCCAACTCTCTGGTGCAAGGGTCCATCCCCCTGCCCACCATGCAGAGGGTGCAGTGGGAACAGCTAGGTGGGCTAGGAGAAGTGGGAAGTATAGCAGACGTTGGTGTGAAGGGGCTGGCAATCGTCCAGTCTGGGTGGGGGGGCGCGAAGGGGGCGTGGTCCCAGAGGGGCGTGGTCCCAGAGGGCGTGGTCCCAGGGTGTGACCTGTGGCAGCCTCGTTCTGGTGCCGCCTCCTCCGGGAGCGGCTGCAGGACACCGATCAATCTTACCCCACCTCGCTGCCTGTCAGACACTGGGGGTTCTGAAGAGGCCCAAGGAGTTGGGGTGCAAGGCTGGGGTCGCGGGGTTGAGTCGGGGGACACGCAGGGGCGTAGACCTCCACTCACCTCCCAGAAGCTGTCGGTGACCTCGTCCGAGGCCTCGTCGTAGGAGCCAGACATGGCGCAGCCGGGTGGAGGGAGCAGCGGGCAGGCGGGAATCTGCGGTCTGCAGGTCTGGCGGCTCACAGGCTGCGAGGGAGAGAGCCGCGCGGATGAGAGAGTGGTCCGTGACCTACTCCAGGCCTGTGTTCCTGGTGCTGAGGCTCAGACTGGGATGGGGTCTTCCTGGAAGGGCTGACCGTGCTGAGGATAAGCCCAAGATGCAATCTGTGGCTCCTCACCTCTGCATTCTGCAGACTGCCTCTCCTAGGGGCGGCTTCCTAGGGACGGCCTCCCTCGCCGCTTACACGGGCCCAGCGGGTCCCAGCTGGAGCCCCTCTCTCCCTGGCACCCCCTACCCTGACCCAACTGGATCCGGACACTAGATCCAAAGAAGGTCCTGGATTCCCCTGCCCCCGGCATAGCGCCTCTGGTCTTGTCCCCTAGAGCTCCTGCCATGCAGTCCCCTGGGAGCTGACGGGAGACCTTTCCCCCCCTGAGCTAAGGGCTCCCCCGGTTTTACCAATTGGGCCCTGTCCATCTTCTTTTGGCTGTCCCAGCCCCGCCTCAAAAGCCTCATTAGCTGCTACAAGTCTCCCTACAGGACTGAGCACGAGGCTCTCTGGCCTGGGGTCACACCGTGATCTTACAGCATCCCAGCACCGTGTCCTGGGGTCACACCGTGACCTTACAGCATCCCAGCACCGTGTCTGCCCTGGATCTGTCATCAGGCATCACAGCTGTCCAATCTAGGCCACGCTCTGCCCCGGGGGCGGGGGGGGGGGCACACTGCTGGGCCTCACTGTCAATAACCAGGAAAGAGCCACAGAGGGAGGGCCTAGCCTTCAAAGGGGCAGCCGCGGCTCCTGGGGCGCTTGCTTGTCTGTGCAATGCAGCTATGGGATTGAACCCCAACCAGTGAGGACTCTGGGTGGGGGCTGACTGTCTCTGCAGGCTTCTCACACACACACACACACACACACACACACACACACGCACACACACACACACCCTCCAGGAGCCTCAGACTCAAGCAGGACAGCAACAACCTGAGGACCCTTGGTCAAGATGCCCCTCCCCCAGCCTCAGTCTCTCCTGTTTCGGGGCCTGGTGCTCCATGCCCGCAGTGACCCCAGTGTGGCCTTCTTGTGCCACCTGGGACTGAAGACCCGAGTTGCCAGAAGCCTCTGGGCCACAGCGGGGAGGACGGAGTGACACAGCGGAGGGGCCGCTCTTCTCAGGCCCCCAGGATGGAAGACCCCCCCCAACAGCATCTCTAGGAATCCACCTTCAGGGTACAAGCCAAGTACAGTGCACAAGCTGGTCCAGCGCAGCCTCGCGGGCCGACACAAAAGGCTGGGGTGGCTAAGTAAATTACAGGGCAGACTCGCAGCCTGCACCCCAGCCCGAGCCACGCCGCCAAGTGTACACCATGCAGAGCGGCCTGGCTGGGAGAAATATATAAATATACATATGTGGGACTATTTTGGGAAGGCCACGAAGCAAAATGGGACCGGCGGTCAGCTTCAGGGCAGCATGCGACCGCGAACGGGGTGGAGCGGGCCTCTCACACTGAGTCCACCGAGCGTCTACGCTGCTGCTTGTGAGTAAAACGGCATTTCCTTTAAAAAAAATCTGCATGACTTTAAAAAATCTTTTCTATGGAGGCATTTTCTTCATTTACACTTGATGTGGGAGGAGCCAGCCCACTGTGGGAGGAGCCGGCCCACTGTGGGAGGAGCCAGCCCACTGTGCGTGCGCGGTGCCACCCTGGGCAGGCGATCCTGGGCCCAGAGAGAAAGCAGGCTGAGCCAGCCAGTAAGCAGCTTTCCCCCTGAGCTTCCGGCATCTGCTCCTACCCGACTTCCTTCAAGGACAGACTGTGATCGGGGCGCGCACGTCAAATAAACCCTTTCCTCCCCAAGCTGCCTTTGGTCAGGGTGTCCTCCCAGCACAGCAGCAGGGACAGGATGGCTGTGGCCCGGAGTGTCAGGCTAGCAGGGCACAGGCCTCAGGCGGTGCGACTTGCAGGACTCTCCTGGGCTCCCCGCTGAGGTAGCTGTGGTCCAGGACCAACTTCCTCAGTGACTCTGGGAAGTCCATGTGGCCCCTCCTGGGCTTTGCTGGAAAGTGACTCCTTCAGAACTACATGAGGGACTGGAGAGATGACTCAGTGGTTAGGAGTGCTGGCTGCCCTTCCAGGGACTTGAGTTTGGTTCCCAGCACCCCAGGTGGCTCACAACCGCCTGTAACTCCAGGCCCACCCACGAATACACACAATACACATGGCTAAAAATAAAAGTCTTAATTAAAAAAAAATCAGACGAATTAGCAAACCCAGCCCACAGGAGACTCTCGGCACTCGGCACTCCAGCCTCTCTGGTTGTACCCACAGCAGGGAAAGAGGGTAGAAGAGGGCTGTCAAATGAGCCCCCAGTCACACACATACACACAGACACACACACACAGAGACACACAGACACACACACACAGAGACAGACACACTCACACACACACACACACACACACACACACACACACACACACACACGCAGCAGGAGGGTCCCCTCCTACAGAATGCCACGTTCTTCTTAATGACAGGGCTGTTTCTGTCAGGGGTCAGGAAGAGGGTGTGAGCAGCATCTGGCACTTCCTGTGACACGCCCAGCAGGCTCCGAGGCCAGGCAAAAGGCCACCACACCCAGTTTCCCTGTAGTCTCTCATCATCAATACCATCAGGTGGCAATCGCCAAGCCACAAAGAGACAAAGCCCACAGGCTGGGGACGTCACTGTGCAGTCTGTCTGGGGGCAAAGGGACAGTCATTCCAAGGTGACCAGCTGCCCAGCAGCTAGCACTACTTCAGGGTCATAGCAACAGCCAGTGCTGTCTGTCTGTCCTGTGCTATACTCATTACGCAGAAGCTGGGGGGCGGGCGGGGGGGGGCTTGGTGGTGGAGCGGAGGACCAAGCAGGCAGGTGACCACTGGCTGGGCTGAAGGGACACACATGACTGACAGCATGCAGCCTGTGCATCCCTGCGCACCGTTGAGGGGGGCTCTGGTAGAGAGTGTCTTCTGGTGGGGTGGACACAGGAAAAGGAGGCTTACCCGAACCTACAGCCAGCAGGGTTGGAGGGGAGCAGAAAAAAGGGGATACCGCAGGCTGCTCTCCTGCCCAGCAACATGGGAACCTCTGATCCCCGGCCCCCCCGATGCTGGGGAAGAGATCCCCACTTTCCTCTCTCTCAGTCTCTCAGAAAACCCCCTTCTCCCCATCTCCTTTCCAGCTGCTGGTCTGTGTCTCTTGAGAACCCTCGCTAGCAGCCCCTGAAGGGGAAGGGTACCTAGGATTGGGAGCCCAGGGTCCTGCTCCAAGTCCATTTTCTTTATTATATCGCTTATTATCGTTGTTGTTGTTAATTCTTATGTAGCCCAGGCAGCCTCAAAATTCACTACAGAGCAGACGGTAATCTTGAATTTCTGATCCTCCTGCGTCCACCTCCCCAGGGCTAGGATCCTGGGCTGCCATGTCCGGTTTACACTTAGCAGGACCTGCATGCTGGCCAGCGCTCTCAGGGGAGCTGCAGCTGCTGTAAAAGCAGTGTTGAGATCAGTCTTGGCTGTCACCAGCTCAGACTTACTGGGTGTCCACTATGTGCTATGACCTGGTCTACGCGCTTTATACGTACTCCGTCTACATTTAAAGGTGGGGAAATCGAGGCACCAGGCAGACAGGATGGGGCATCCAGGGCCACTGAGGTGACGTGGTGGGACTGAGTCCAACCCTGGTTATATAAACAGTGCACACCACCATTCTGGTCCCTTCGGAGCCCCGCCTACCCAGGAGGTGAGAGAAAGTCAGAGGGATATAGGGATGAGGCCAGAGGGCATTGTGTGTGTGTGTGTGTGTGTGTGTGTGTGCCTGTGTGGGCGTGCACATGCGTGTGTGTATGTGTGTGTGTGCGTGCGTGTGCACATGTGTGTGTGCCTGTGTGTGCGTGCGTGTGTGTGCGTGTGTGTGCATGTGTGTGTGCGTGTGCGCGTGTGTGCACACAGGTGAAGCAGCAGGCCCAGGCCACACAGCAGGCAGACAGGAGACTCTGGGCTGGCTGTCCTCCTCTACCCTGCTCCCAGGTGTCCAGCCCAGCACTGCAGTGTCTCTCCAGACATCCTAGTCAGCCCGGCTGCCTCAGTTCCACACATGCCCAGGGGTTCCCAGCACTCTCCTTCCTTAGAGATGGGCAGGGCAGGCGAGCCTCTCAGACACCAGTGCAGTAAGAAGAAATGGGCTGAGGGGTAAGGTGCTGTGCCCGCCCCCACCCCGCCCCTCCCAGTCCACAAGCCCCCAGGTTCATGCTCCCTCACGTCTGCTAACCCACCCTCTCCTCACACCCCTCCTTCAGTGTGGGTTCAGGACCCCGGCCCAGCTCTGTAGTACATTGCCCATGAGCCCTATAGGACTGAAGACTGATTTCAAATCACAGCTGTGTCACTTCTCAGCTGTGGGGCCTTGGTGGGCTACTACCTGTGCCTCAGTCTCCTCAACTGAGAAGCTGGGGGGGCCGTGCCACCTACGCTGGGGCAGATGGAGAATGCGGGGGGGGGGGGGGGGAGCCATCAACACAGTGGGCAGAGGCGGGCCTTGCTCTACGGCCAAGACCGCTGAGTTAGCTAACACCCGGATATCCTTCCAGACTGTGGGCTCATCTAGGACCCCCAGAGTCCTAGTGGGAAATCAGGCCAGGTCTGGCTTCCTCTTACCTTCTCTTGGGGTCTAGAAGTCAGGCCCTGGGCAGGTAGGTGCAGTGGCACACACCTGCTGTCCCAGCACTCAGTGGGACAGTCTGGAGAACCGGGAAGTCAAAATCATCCTCCCTATATAGTTAATATAAACCAGCCTGACCTCCATGAGACCCCATGTCCAATAAAACAAGCAAACGCGTGTGACCCCATTTCATCTGCCTGGAGGTCTCCGAGGGACCTTTTACAAATGACAGACTGCAGCCCCACAAACACCAGTCCGCCACAGGCCCCTAAAGGAGACAGGAGGCAGAACTCTAGTTTCACCTGTGCTGCAGGACACCAGGGAC